TTTTTTTTTGCGGGGGGGTCTGAAGCCGGGGTTGGGGGTGCCCAACCCCGGAACCCCGGAACCCCGCCGGGGCCCCGGGGCCGGGGCTCGACAACCCTGCTGAATTCCCTCGAACCTCCCATTTCCACCCGAATAAGTAAGCCCACGTTTCTTCAACCCGTGACTGATTGTCCTATCCGGGTCAACATCCGGGCGGCCTTTCGAAAGACCGGTGTCAGCCCGTGACCTTGTGCTATCTCTACCCCCAACGAGTACCAGCCAATCTCAGGCAGATACATGGTCCCGGTAACTTCCAGATTGGAAAATTAATCGTTTCCGGGTCCTCTATCGAGTCTCATTCCTGTCCATCGGCATTCTACCAACATGAAGGCGGCGTCCCTTCCCAAAGTCACGGTCCGCCATTCTATGTCGAATCCCCGATAAGTAGAACTCGACGGGAGGGATACTTCCCATCGTCCACCGTTATTCCAGGGCGGTCCTGGGTACCGGGGCTGGCGTTCCATCCGCACACGGAGCTGGCATTCCATTCGCTCACGTCTTGCTGCCATTGTTACCTTGGTGATTCCCTGCATAGTCCACATAGAAAGGGTTACAACGAATCCTTAGAAACCGTCCACCTACTGCCCTTTTGCCCTTCGTGTTTTCATTCCTCTTTTCTAGTCCCAACTATCCCTCCATACCCCTGAGAGCAGTAGCCCCCTCTGGCTGCTCATATAGCCGGTAGAGATCATCTATGTAGGTCGCGCCCCGACCTACCTCTCGCTGGATGACTCTCCACATGGTCTCATCACTTATTTGTGGGACTCCCGACCTAGTATTTACCACTGCTCGTAGAATGCAAAGCACCTCGCGCCCCTGTTCGTCCCCGAAAGGCCCCATCTCTAGGAAGGCCCGATAGTATTCTCGATACATTAATGCTTCGTCAAAATTTAGCCTAGTTACGGCAGTCACCGCCTGCTCCACTCGTTCTATGCCTCCCATTCGTCTTAGTAGGAAGGGTGGTAGACTCATCCGTACGACCTCATTTGGCAGCTCAAAAACCCCTGCCGCGGCAACTTTTACCTCAGTCGTCACGTCATCTCGTTCTGGATCTGCAAACTCAAACCCCTCCCGCCAGGTTATTTGCCATGCCCCTTCGAACATTCGCACGGGGTCATCCCTGGAGGCCAAGGCAATCACAAAGGTCCGCCACCCTTCTTCCGACAAGTGTAAGGATCCCGTCGCATGCACTCGCCCTGGGAGGTCCAAATTTACGCCCCCGAATTCCCCTCTCGTACGCCACTCCAGTTATATTACTAGGTACACCGTGTCTTCCACCAATTCTACCCCCACCCAGTCCATTACCGGGTTACTCACCACGTTTCTTGATGGCAGGCTTATTTCGACCCTGTCTCCCGATGCCCTTGGTGGTCGGATCCCGCGAGGCCTATCTTCCTAGAACGTCATTCGTCGGGCCATCTTGCAATGCCTCCTTTCCCTCTTCCTTAGTCCGATTGCTGCACCCACCGGGATTCCGCGTCCTTCGTGTTTTAGTCTTTCAGTACCCCCTTCCTATCGTACACTGGTTCCCGCCACTGTCCCGTCTCCATGCCTGCCCTTATTTCGGTCTCCTCGCGTCCCCTGCTGACTAATGTACATCCTTTTTTCTTATGCTACATCCTAATTCGCATGCACCCTCCATACTCAGTTCTTCCTGTGGCGCTCGAACTTTGAGTCCCTTTAATCAAACCACCGCACCTCAAACATCATAAAGACATCGTCCACATAGGATGGCGTGGCTGCCACCTCCCGGCTAACTATGGCGTCCCAAGCTTCCGCGCTTACCTCGAGGCGGTCGTATTTACCTATCCTCAGGATGGTGATGACCTCACCGACTTTATCCCCGTAGAAGGGCCCATATTTTAAGGAGAACCTATAGAATTCCTCGGTCAGCCAGGCACATTCTATGTGTACTTTCCTCATGGAGTCGGCTACGTCTGCTATGTGCTCAAAACCCCCGAACCAATCGGCCACGAACTCGGGCACCCAAGCTGTTATGTGCAGGCAGGGAGGCCTAAGTTCGTTATACCCTCCCATCACAACTTCGCTACTAACTTCGTCCCACCCCTCGTTGGCGAACCTCTTGACTTCTTTTCGGGTTCGCGCCTCTGCATCCCCTAGAAGCCACACCAGATCTTGTCCCATAGCTAACATAGTGCAAAACAGGTGCCACCCGCTCTCGAAGAGGACAATTGTTCCGACTGATTCCACTTTGCCTTCTTCTAACTCATCCCAACCTTCCTCTTTCGTTATCAGGTTCCAAATCCGCTCTACCCATATATATGACAAGTCTCGGGCGACCTCAAACCCAATCCAATCGCATGTGGTCCCCCTCCATTCGTTTTCTGTCGGTATAGGCATTTCTATTCCTCCTCTGAGTCGCTGTGGTTCCCAACCTTTGAAGGTGTATTCCATCATCCTTTCTTCTCTAGTCATCTTCCCCTTTCCTGCACAATACCAGATCACCCATCCTTCCTAGGTTAATTTACCCCGCCCCTCTTAGAAGTCCCAGTCCTCCATCTCATCCTCTTCGTCTTCATCACTGAAGTCGTCCTCCTCGCTATATAACAACCCCCTCACCCCATCCAGAAATGTCTCCCCTATTGCCACATTCTTGTAGACTATCCCCCAATGCACAGAGCTAGGGACAAAGATATTGTCTATGCTAAGGCATTTAGTATCTCGGTCAGCTCGTCCGCCCAGTTTCCCTCGAACGGCCCCATCTCTACCGACAACTGAAAAAAATCTTGCCTAGCGCATTGGTATAGCCCGAGGTTCGTCATGGACTGGCATATTCGTACTAGCCTGCTCCGAGTTCCAAACACCGCATCCACCAGGAAGGGAGGCAGCACACATCGCATGGTTCTGACGGGTCGCCTCATGCTTCCTCTATCCCCAAGTTCCACCCGCACATCTACCCTTTCCATTTCCATCTCCCTTCGCTGACGCGCGGCCCACACAACTTCTGCTTCCGCCTTCCTAAACAACTCGTCCGGCGTATTCCCGAGTGCCAACTCTATGACCATAGCATTTTTCCCATCTTGCGACAAGTAGACCCACCCCCGAGCTTCCTCTGTTCCCCGGAACTCCAAATCCATTAAACTTGGCGACAACCTTGTCAAGCTAACATTAGCCCATACTGTCTCTATCCATAGGAACGCGTTCTCCCCTTCCAGCATCACGGTTTGATATGCTGGTTCAAGGTCCGTCCACGCCCCATCTTCCGGGAGGACGACCGACACCCCATCCTTTACGTCTACTGGTATCTCTTGACCGCTGGTATAAGTCGGGGCAGACAACCATCGCGCCATCTTGTTTCCAGCACCCGGCCCCTGTTTTCATGAAAGAGTACCAACCGGTTCTTCTGGTTAGGTTAACCCCTTTTCCTAAATGAGAATTATTTTAGACCTCCAATTATGGTCTCCCTATTTTACCTCCCCCTTTCCTAAGTACCCCCTTTCCATAATTCCCTCGGCCGGCCATCCATTTCCCCACATTCCTTTTCTTGGTTCCATTCCATCTGACCTCTATCCTTCTCCCTTCCGATCATCTCTCACTCGTGTGGACTTAGAAGGGAGGGGGAATAGACTTAGAAGAATGTCCGTCCAACAATCCAAGCTCAATCAATCTTTACGGGCGGGAGACACATTAAAAAAATCAGGCAATCTCACATACGGGCCGGTCATCTCCTCACCGACCATCCCAATATGATCTCTCCGCTGAATCAGATACTATCGGTAGAGTTTTACCCCATACCTCAAGCGCAACTCAACCGTTGCGAGCGCGATACCCAGGCTCCGGCAAGGCGTTAGCCCTTTTCTTGTCCCCAGAATACCCCATCCCGTCTTGCCGCTTTGCACATCCATACCGACACCGAGGGTTACCCCGAGTGCCTAAATACGGGGACACAGTCAGTCGTCCGGGCATTCACTTCCATCGGTCCGACAAGAATCAGCCTTTCCCAAAACCATGCTACGAGAAGCTACTAATCGCCTCCGAGGCTCCGTCTTTGTCCGCATGCAGTGGTACTCCCCCTGCCAGCCAACAGGCTACGCCCCGCCTGAGGAAATTTCACACCCCGTCCGGCAGATCATCGAGCAAAAGCCCGTCACCGCTCGAACAAGAATGCTACTAATCAACCGACGTGACAAACTCCCCTCCGACAGCTCGGTGGCCTGACCTCCACATACGAACACACGGCGGCCTACAAAAGCAGAACGACGTTCGCAACCCGCACTGACCGGTGCAGACCAATCCTTTCCTTCCGAAAGGCAGGACGCTCGAATCCCATCATGCAAACAGAAGTCCCAAGCGGGACACACATGCGCAAAGAGAAGTGACTAACTAAGTAAAGATCCGGAACATCACATCCAACTTGAACTTGACAATGAAAGGCTAGACTAGTGGAAAGCACATGCACAAAGAGAAGAGACCAATAAAGTCAAGATCCGGAACCTCACATCAAACATGAAATTGACAATGGGAGACTAGACTAGTGGAAAACACATGCATACGAAGGGAAGATCAACCGGAACATCACATTAAGTATGAACGTGATAAGGAGTGGCTAGACTAGTGAAAAACATATGTACATGAAGGGAAGATCATCCGGAACATCACATTAAGTATGAACATGACAAATGAGTGGCTAGGCTAATGAAAAAGCATATGCACATGAAGCGAAGATCAGTCGGATCATCACACCAAGTATGAACATGACAATGAGTGACTAGACTAATGAAAAAGCACATGCACATGAAGGGGAGATCATCCGGAACATCACACTAAATATGAACATGACAATGAGTGGCTAGACTAATGAAAAGCACATGCACATGAAGGGTAGATCAACCGGAACATCACATTAAGTATGAACATGATAATGAGTGGCTAAACTAATGAAAAAGCATATGCACATGAAGGGAAGATCAACCGGAACATCACACCAAGTATGAACATGACAATGAGTGGCTAGACTAATAAAAAAGCACATGCATATGAAGGGGAGATCATCCGGAACATCACATTAAGTATGAACATGTCAATGAGTGGCTAGACTAATGAAAAGGCACATGCACATGAAGAGAAGATCATCCGGAACATCACATTAAGTATGAACATGACAATGAGTGGCTAGCCTAATGAGAAGCACATGTACATGAATGAAAGGTCATCCGGAACATCATATTAAGTATCATATTAAGTATGAACATGACAATGAGTGACTAGACTAATGAAGAAGCACATGCACATGAAGGGAAGATCATTCGGATCATAATATTAAGTATGAACATGACTTTGAGTGGCTAGACTAAAAAAAGACACATGTACACAAAGGGAAGATCATCCGGAACATCACATGTCATCATGTGAGTTAAAACAAGAGTCTAAGTGGGTCAGATCACCAAGGTTGAACCAAGGGTCATCCATGAATGTAGCGCTATACTACCTACTAGTGTGAGAGTGGAAAACACAAGTTTGAAAAGTCCAAATCACCAAGATTGTATCAAGAAGCATCCATGGGTGAAGCGCTACACTACCTACTAGTGTGAGTGTGAAAAACACAAGTTTGAATCTCCCAAATCACCAAGATTGTATCAAGAGGCATCCATGAATGTACTGTTATACTACCTACTAGTGTAAGTGTGAAAAGCACAGGCTTAAAGCTCCCACATCACCAAGAATATATCAAGAATCACTCATGGGTGAAGCGCTACACTACTTATTAGTGTGAGTGTAAAAAACACAAGTTTGAAGCTCCCGAATCACCAAGAATATATCAAGAATCACTCATGGGTGAAGCGCTACACTACTTATTAGTGTGAGTGTGAAAAACACAAGTTTGAAGCTCCCAAATCACCAATAATGTATCNCATGGGTGAAGCGCTACACTACTTATTAGTGTGAGTGTGAAAAACACAAGTTTGAAGCTCCCAAATCACTAAGAATGTATCAAGAAGCATCTAGGAAAGAATCGGAGTACTACTCCCTAGTGTTTAAGTGAAAGAGGAGAGTTTGAGTAGCCCATGGAAGAGAGAAGATGAAGTATGAGAAGATGGAGGAGAAGGGGGGAGAGATGAGGGAGATGGAGATGGAGAAGGACAGGAAGAAGACAAAGGGAATGAAAGTGAAGAGGAGGAAGGAGGAGATGAAGGAGGAGAGAAGAAAAGGAAGAAGGAGGGAGTGAGAATGAAGAAGAGGAAGAAGAAAGAGGAGAGGAAGAAGGAGAAGAGGAGGAAGAAGAAGAAGAAGAAGAAGAAGAAGAGGAAGAAGAAGAAGAGGAAGAAGAAAAAGAAGAAGATGAAGGTGAGGAAGTCTCTTCCTTCTTCTCACCTTGTTGATTCCTTGATGTTGGTGTCCTCTTGATGAAGCTTCCACTCTTTGTGCAATCGCCTCTTGGCTATGGCTTCCTTCTTCTTCAAGTCCTTCTCTCCTCCTTCCTTGCTCTCTCTCAGACTATGGCAAGTTCCCCCAGCTATGGCTATGGAGTCCTCTCCTCTAGGAGGGCTAGTGGGGGCTCCTCTAGCCTCTCCTTCTCTCCTACACCCAGGAGGGATATGGCAGATCACCTCCCAACTGTCTCTCCCACCATCACTATCCTCTAGAGTCCTCCCCACTACCTTCTAGTCTCCTCTAAGCTCTCCCACTAGCATGGGCTCCTCCCTTTTAACTCCAAGTGCAAAGGTGCTCCTGTGATCTCACTTGGGCAGCATGGGCACTCCTCATGCAAATGTGAGAGTGGCGGACTGCATCCTTAGCTTATGTAGGCTGAAACCAGCAGTCTGGCCACCCCATGAGCCTCCCCATGAGCCTTGAGGTGAACCAAGGTACCCCCAAGGCCAAATTCTCATTCTAGGCCCTTCTGGAGGTACATGAGCCTCATTTTGGCCAATTACATGCAGTCCGAGTGGTTGGTACCAACTCGGACAGCCTCTTGACCTACTCTGGCATCTTTTTCATTGCTCAAATGCTGCCCCCTATGGTATTAATGCCCCATGGGCATCAATACCTGAAAAAAAAAGGCCTTGTGGGCCTTTTTATCGATTTTTCCAAGTTTCGGCCTCCTTTGGGTAGACTGGAGCATTTTTTCATGTGGCGGCACCTTTTCAGCCTTGGATCTGGCTGAGATCCAAGACCAGCAATAATCCGTGCTACCCCCTAGTAGCCCTTGCTTCAATTTTGAGCCCCTAAGCCTACTTTTTCAATTTTTGGTGCATCTGGCTCTCTTTTTGGGCCAAACGCACAGTTTTCTCGTTTTCCCTCTTTTGTTTCTTTCCATTTTGGGCTGCCACCTCATTCCGAAGCTAGCCGTTTTGAGCTGGCCCACAAAAAATGGGTAGTTCCTCTCCACCATGAGATCTGATCTCAGATCCATGGTCAAAAAGAAATGCGTCTACTTCTTTTTTGCTTTTTCTCTCATTTTCTGCTTTTTAATTCAGATTTTATTGCCCTCCCTTATTCTAGGAGGGATGAGGTCACAGTGGGGACCTGCCACTCCCTACTGTGCAGGTCCCAATAGGCCGGCACACTCTCCTCCACTCTTTTCTCCCTTTTTGTTTCATTCTCTCTCCTTTTTCTCTCCTTTTTCTTTCTTTTTCTTTTATTTTTGTTGTGACAAGTGTCAAACTGCTGTGCACCCTCTTTCTAGGCCCTAGGGCCTCATTCAAGGCCAAGTTCATGACTGTTACTTGGCCGTTACATCTCGGATTCCAACAATGGCACCCCCATGCTCCTAGGGGGCTCCATTTTGCTCCCATTTGCCCATTTTTTAGCCCCTTTTGCTCCGATTTTCGAAGAGCAGCCTTTTTTTCATGTTGAGCCTTTCAAGGTTCTATTTTCTTATGCCTAGCTAGTCCGAGATATCCCGGACTGCTGGGCAGCCTTCTCAACCTCCTTATTTTACTTTTCTTTCTCCCATGGCTCTCCCACTTGCTCCCACTAGTGTTTGCACTAGTGGTGCTAATATTTTCCACCGTCTAGATCCTTGATCTTGACGGTGCCGTTTGCTTCCACAAATATTTCTTGTGTTCGCTCATGGTTCCCTTGGGACATCCCAAGTCCCCGCCATTTTCCTTCATGCTAGCTCCATTTCCTTGTCCCGCCGGCGATCCCGCCGGCGCATGTCCCATTTTCCGATTTTTATTATTTGGACCCATTTGGTCCCCGACAACATTCCAGACGGCATCCCATTTTTATTTTTTTGGGGCCCCTTGCCCTTGGTGGTCCCATCATTTCTACATGTGTGCCGATTTTTCTAGGCCGCGAGATCTCACGGTTGCCGTTTACCGTCTTTATTTGCCTCATGTCGAAAGTGCTCCTTTTTAGCCTTCCGGGCTTGCCGTAGCCCATTTCCTCTTAGCCTTGGCATCCCCATGCAGTCCGTAATTTCTCGGACTGCACTCATGGCTATTTTTTACACCCACAGCCCTACAACTTGCCTCATGTTAAAAGAAAATGAAGCGTTGAATTTTCTAGTGCATCCGGGCTCAATATTGGTTTCGGATGCACCTAGAACATGTGTTTTCTATCCCCCATGCAGTCCGTTACAACTCGGACTGCAATGGGGGTTAATTCCTTAGCCCTAATGCGCTACAACTAGCCCTTACTGGAAGAAAAAAAAGAAATGGTCAATTCCCAAGTGCATCCGGACTTGATTTTAGCTCCGGATGCACCTAAAACATGGGTTTCTCCTCATGCATGTAATCCGTTTTATTCCGGTTGCATAAGGCCTTGATTTTCTTTGATTTTCTCTGCAAAAATCAAAGAAAATCAAAGTCCTTTGTAACCGCCATACTCTAGAATGAATCTGGTCACGGATGAATCTCCCCAAGTGACCGTTTTTT